GTCTCTGATAAGCAGCAGATATCGATCGAGAGGGTCTCCAATGTTCGGGCAAGTGCTGCCTGTTGACCGATTTGTAGCAGTGTGCGTACATTGAGGCATGCCAATCTGAAGGAGGATCGAGGGCTCCAAATGGAAGCCGATGAACTGGATTGGACCGCTTGGTTGGACATGGGCTTGTCGACGGGAGAGGAGTGACGCTCCGCGTTCACGTGTGAGTTGAAATTAGAAGGTAAATGCCTAGCAAAGAATGTTGGGGGAGGGCCAAGAATCGGGGGGTTGAAAACTGGGGGGATATAAGTGAAGTTGGAATGGGACGGTAAGAGTGAAAAAGCGTAAGAGGGGGAATAAGAAGACGGGAAGGCTTGAGCAGTAGCATCCAAACCCCTATCCACCCTGCTCGATGCAGCAGATAGGGCACCGTTGATTATCCTCTGCGGTGGCCAGAGCATCAAGAAATTGTTTGAAGGAAAATTCATGGTATTGCGTGGGCAGGATACTGTCAGGTTGCCCAGGCCTAGACAGGAGAACGATTAGGGTTCTCAACCAAAGCCTTTGGTTCAAAAACCTGACCGCAAGGCAGCGGGTTGGGCTACAAGGAGTCCATTTTAAGGAATAAGGTGCCACCCTCATTCCAACCCCCAACCTGGAGGACCAGGAGGCTGAGTTTGTCTGGCCTCTAACCATTGACCAATCTGGTATGAGTGACTCTGAAGGTGCAAAAGCACCACCCAGCATAGCTCAATGGATCGCTGAGGCACACAAACCATCGCACCACGGTAAGGTCCAGCCTCATTGCGATGGAAGCATAGTGCAGAATCACTTTCGGTGATTGCTGCATTTCAAAGCGAGCCTAAGCGACGGGGACGATTCATCATCGTGTTAATCAACGGTATCCCAACGAAGCTGCAACTTGACATGGCCTAAGACATAGCTTGGAAGCATATAAAGAGGCCAACAATGATCAAGTATCAAAAATGGTCCACAACGCATCCGGTGGTGTGCTTAACTTAATCGCAGAAATAAACTGCACAATGGCATTCAACAGTGTGGAAGAAACAGGGACGGTTTGTATGTTAGATAGGCAAAATTCGAAACTTCCTGAGCTAGAATGGAATGAAAAGTGGCAACTGTTCGATGTTCTATTGAATCAGATCTGCAATCGAGTCGAGCGAATCCAGACGCATCAAGGAAGTCGGTAGAAGAGATGACACGTCTGCTGAAACAAAAAGTTGACCGTGTTTCAGAATGGCACAGACCATTGCACCAAATTCACAACGGCACTGTCCCTGCGACCAAGAGCCAAGCCAGTTTTTAAAGCTAAACGACCGATGCCATATGAAGCAATGCCAATCGTTGAGCAATAGCTCGAGGAACTAGAACGAACCAGCGTCAGCAAAGCTGCCAACTAAGCCTCATGGGCCGCACCCACTGTCGCAGTAAAGAAAGCGATTGGTAAAGTACGCGACTGCGCTGATTTCTCAACTGGTCTTAACGCTGCGCTCGACGCCTATCAATATCACTCTTCTACCACCACACATTTTATATCCTTCTTTACTCCATTGTTGGCCACGACCGGATCGATCTCCTGAGGTGACAGATTGAAGCTTCCAACGCTAATAGTTATACGCATGCAAGGTGCACTGCCATTGGTTCCCTAGCGAGAAAAGTGCTTGACTCAGAAGAACCGATTAATGTTGCGGGCTAGATGGCTTGAGTGTCCACGCTATATACAAAAAATACCTAAAATGAGTAACATAGGTGATGGCTTATCTGCTCTAAAAGCCACACCGACACACAGTCAGATGGGCATGGAAGTGCGGGTGAAACCCATCGAGGGAATAATCCACATGGAAGCAGGTCACCAAGAGACGGTTTCATGGATGGTCGTATTACTTCACGCATATATTTGGAATTATGTACACTTAATATGTTTTGACAAACTAACAATGTTCGCCAAAGATTTAACCAATTAACTAGCCACGTTTACCAAAAAAGAGTTTAAAAACTGCTTTGGAATTTCGAAAAACAAAATATCTGCTCATTGGGATTCCGACATACATCAAGAATCGTGACATCCCGTTGGACTGTACATCTCCCCGAAGAGGAACATACCGTTTCTTTCTTTTTCGTCAAAATTTGCAATTGCTCATGCAAGAGCATGGTACTAGCTGTACATACATGATCGGTGCCAAATAGGAACGCAGCTACTCACTTAGTGAAATATACTTATTATTATTACCGGAAGACATGCTCGCATAATTGAATGGTGGAAGGTGCTTTGCCAAGCTTGACCTGTCTGATGCATACCTTCAGGTAGATGTTGTCGAGGACTTGAAAGAGTTAGCGATGATCAACACGCATCGTGCACTGTACCAGTAAAACCGCTTGCTTCCCGGCGTAAGAACGGAACCAGTTATTTTTAACAGTTGATGGACACCATGATGGCAGGAGTTTCTGGAGTCACCGAACATCTCGATGACATCGTAATGGGCCGAATAGCCATGGAATTATTTAACCGCTTGGTCGTATGATTTCGGATTCGTGAATACGAATGTAGGTTTTTCACCCTGATTAGCAAATATCCTGGTTTTATCTTTGAAAAGAATGGCCGTTGACCAGATATAGCAAACATCGAAACCATGAAGATGTCTTTAGCAACCGACCTTCAATTGTCGTGTTCATTTTGTGGGCTCGTCCGTCACTACAGCGCATTTTGTCCGAGCTGTACCACCTGCGTTCTCTGCTGAACAAGCTTCTGACCAAAGACCACGCCTGGAACTGAACGTGAAAATGCCAGCGTACCTTTGAAAGAATCAAGTCATTACTGGCTTCAGATTTGTTGCTAAGTCAATACTATCCAACACAGTAAATCATTCTCGCACCAAATGCATTAAATCACGGAATCCGGGCCGTAATTTCGTATTTGCATCCAGATAGATCCCAGAGAACGATCGTTCACGCGACCAGAACTTTTACAGAAGCCGAGAGAAACTACAGCAGATCGAAAAGGAAGCATTAGCAATAATCTTTGGAGTGAAGAAATTCCATAAGATGCTATACGACCGCCGATTCAGGCTATAGACTGATCACAAACTATTATTGGCTATCTTCGGCTCGAAGAAGCGCATCCCTGTCTATACGGCTGACCATCTCCAACGCTAGGAACTCACTCTGCTGAGCTATAATTTTGGGAACAGCTACCAAACAACCGCTCCCAGGGGCCAAGCGGACACACTGTCACGCCTCATAGACTCCCGTCAGCAAGATGAAGAAAACAAGATCATATCTCAGTTACGCTTGAACAGGACGTCAAATTTCTCGTGAGTGATGCATTACGTGACCTACCAGTAACTGAAGAAGTTGTGCGAGCAGAAACGCTTAGTGACTCGGTACTCAAGATGGACGCACTATTCAACAGGACGAGTTGGTCACGCACATGTTTATCAGCCGAAAAGAAGCATGCAATATTCATCGTCAACGGCTGCATATTATTCTCGGAACGAGTTATCCTCCCCAAGGCACTACAAAAGCTTGTACTTAAGCAGTTTCATGCAATACATCCTGGGTTCAACCGGATGCCTGAAACTTTGTGTACCGGCACTGCATAGACAGACAACTGGAAGGAATGGCTAAAAGTTGCTACAAGTGCGCTGCTGCTGCAAGGGCACCGGTGAAGTCGGAACTACATTCATGGCAGAAACCAAGGAGGTCATGGTGCCATATCCACATCGATTTTGCTGGACCGATAGACAGGCCAAAGTTTTCTCATTGCTGATGAACAGCACATCGACTAAAACCACCGTAACAAAACTATGGCAAACCTTCCCAGGATTCGGCAGTCCAGAGACACTTGTAACTGACAACTGCACACAGTTCACCTAAGCAGTTCACACGGAGTTCTGCAGACAATGCGCCGTTCAGCACATCCGCTCACCGTCATTTTATCCACAATCGAATGCCAAGGCAGAGAGATTCGTGGATACTTGCAAGCGAGCTCTCCTCAAATCAAAAGGAGGATGTATAAGAGGAGGTGATTGACCGATTCCGCTTCCTATACCGATCAACGCCAAACCCATAAGTGCCGGATGGGGTTTCACCAGCACAGGCTATGATGAACCAGGCTGCGCATGCCATTCGACAAGCACAATGCCCTCTGTTGGCGGCATCGAGCTAAGCAACGATTGTTTATGCCCGGGCAGAGCTAACACTAGACTATCGGGCAGGTAAAGCAATTTGGACACCTGGCACGATCAAAGGCAAGAGCGGGAACGTAGACCTGCTTTCGCCATACAAACCAGAGGAAGTAAAGCCTGCCGCGCTCCCGTTTGACTTGTTAGTAGAGAAATTCAGCCTGCCAGAGGAGCCTATGGACGACGAATGCCAGCGAAGAGACGAAACCGCACGATAGATCCCAGGACCCACATCACGCGCACTTCAGCTGAGACGATGGACCGACAGAGCTCGAACACCGTCCAGGAGAATATAGGGCAAGCCCAGGCTTACTTCAAAACTTCGTCATACACCGCACACGACATTTCAGGAGGGGAAGTGCCTGGAAAGTAAGAATGTCCCGGAAAAACCACTACTTCAGTGGGTCATCGGATGCAATCAACCATTGCATCGATTTCGAGCTTACTGAACGTAACTGCCATTCTCCCGAAAATGGGCACTGCTAATTTTGGTAGGTAACCTTCCAATTCTAAAAGTCGAAGGTTATGAGGCGATCTATAGACACGACCAAGGTCCGCCGCTTTTGTATAGATCCAGTCTGACTGCAGTTAACACGCTATTTTGGATAAGGTCATCCTGATATTTTCCATCGATTGGGCTTGAGGTCGTGCGATATAGGTTAAGTGCATGTTTCGGAAGTGCAGCAAGTGAGAAGATTTAACAAATAGCGACGGAGAAAACTGAGGATGCCGTGAAGTTTTCCGTTGAACAATTTCAAAAGCTGCTTTTGTAACAGCGACTGATTTCTACTGGGAGAAGCTAGAAAAACCGGTAGGTTGTAGATCAAAGGCGCAAGCAATAACTGGTAAAAGCGACATACATAAGACGAAAGGAGTAAAAGAGTGTCATCTATTATGCACATATTTGGATGAATATGAACCATGGAGTGGACTGTTTCAAGTGCGAAATAAACATAGATGAATATCATAAATGCAAGTAGCTGTGGGGGTTGAGGGAAATAAGCGAAATTAAAAAGGACAGAAAAACAAATGAAGACCCATGCAAAGATAGATAAATGCACAGCTGATCGATCGTTAAAAATGTGGGGAACCGAATGACATCACAGACTAGAATAAACCCAGAATGTAAGCAGCTACTCTAAACATGAGGGCGCTGGACCCGAAATAACACTAGCCAAGCCACCGATGCCCGCTACAGTGCCACCAGAAAGGCCGACACCAGACCGGAGTTTCTTAGATTTTTTCTTCCCACTGGCGAACAACTCCCGGTAGTAGTCGGAGCGAAGAAAGCGATAATAGGAATCCGACTTCATTAAATGAAAGATGTGACTTTCTGCTTCGTCGAAACAAAAGCGGTCTATTTCAGCACCAGATGGATCACTCAGTTGACGCCGGATGGAGTCCGCAATTCGACTATCCACGTTTAGGGAATCCACCGCATTTGGAGCCAGATATTGATTATAAATGTCCGAGACACGCTGTCGAAGTTCCCGTATTGGTGCACCCTTGAGCTCCTATTGAAGAAATGAGAGGTGGAAAGTCGGAAAACAACTCAATACAATCGAAACACCGTGCCCAATCGCAAAATGTACGGGACATAGTGATGCTCTAAATAGAATAAGTTGTCCAGTCATCCTAATCTCATGGGCCTTAATACGGAGGCCAAGTATAGGTATCAGCAGTACACCGGTACGCAGTGCCGACGCTTCGCTGCTGCGCAAGCACCAACAGTCGTGAGTGGGGTACGGAAACTGTGAGGGTCGCCCGGTTTCCTACGTTGGCTCCAACCTACGCCGTCGGATTAGATAGAAGGCCTGAGACCCTCTAGCCCACGGGCCGGCAAAATTAGGGCCGAAAGAAGAATTCAAGTCAAAGTGAGCTTTATTCACCTGTACGGGTGAATTCTCAGCATTTTCACATTAACACTGCGGATCATTACTGATAATTAATAATAGTAAACGAAAATTTGCGTCCGCAAACCAGTATACGGTAATGAAAGAGGCGTTCACTCTTGTTTGGTCGATCAGTAAGCGTGACAGATAAGGCAGGATAGTTTTGATCCGAGAAAGTAGGAGAATATAAAGTTTTAAATTTTGTCCGCGTGGAAGAAGTAGATATAATGCTGGCTAAGATACCGTGTAAAGGGTGTGAGGAGTGATATAAAATCTTGGATGAAAAGTTGTTGCATGCATTGAAATGTTTGTTAACAATGAAATCTATGAGTGTTTCTTTGTCTAAACCGTAGTAACAAAAATAAATTTTAGCGAACGGACAAGGAGATAATCTTTTTGAAGCAGCCCGGGGAAAGTAACCGGGGAACAGTATAACAGTCACAAACTGCATAATTAATGCACGGGTAATGGGAAGCATGGAAACAATGGCCGGAATGAAAGCGATGCCTCGGAATTGTAACGGGATACTAAAACGTGGACATAAGTCAGAATCGTGAATTTACACCAATGGCAACAAGAGGCATTCTTCCAGTGACTCTTGCAGCCGATTGCGGAGGAGAATGGTTAGACCAGCGATAAGATGGCTACTTGGAGGGACATGAACGGTCTGTCAGTGTAAACAGTGCTGCTAGACCATCATAGTGATTTACACCAGGTGGGTATAGGTCAGATAAATCAAGTTCCGCTAGAAGAGAGTTTAGAATGAACGGTTTAACAAGGTGCAGCGTAACGGCAATTTGAACCTTAGAAAGATGGTAATAATACGATCACCCAGAGAAGAAGCGGAATCTAGCTGGTCCGGACAAACTTCGAATCTACGACCTCCTAAAATGACATAGGAAGGATGAACTAACAAGTATCACGTTAAAAACTTCGCAAATCCTGGTTCAAAATACGCGCTATAAAGCAGCATCACAGCTTCAGCGTTGTTTAATGACGGGTGTTCGAACGTTCCGGAACAGAGTTTATAAGTACTTTAGCCAATGACCAGATACGTACCATTAGATTGGTAAGATAGTTCATAGTGCAAGAATCACTTTGTGGTCACAGATACATTCAAAAACACGGCCAGCACCATAATAATAACTCCGGATACGGTGAACATTCTATATATATATATATATATATATATATATATATATATATATGAATGTTCACCGCAGCCGGAGTGATTATTATGGTGTTGACAGTGTTTTTGAGTGCATCTGTGACCGAAGAGAGAGGATATAAAACGGTGTTTATGGGAATAGAAAGTCACAACTAGTCCGCAATTGCGCACAGTGTCTTGCCATATACGAGATGATTTCCAGCCGTGCGTGTTCCGGATCCTTCACAAGCCAGCCACGGAGCCGATAGCGCATGACCATGGCTAACTTTGACGTTAGCTCCTTCATGCTTCTGGCCCAAGTAACACGTTGGCCACCTTGATTTCGCTTCCAGCGGAGTTCTGCGAGCGCGAAGAGAGCACGACGAAGTAAGCGATGAGTAGGCACGCGAAGAACATGCCCAAGCCACTGAAGTCTGCACAGAGAAAGTATGCTGCACAGTGGCCGGCAAAGTCTGTCCGATCCGAAAATGCTCCGTCGAACATCTTCATTACTTGTGTGATGTTGCCATCGTACACCAATAATGCCCCAAAGGCAGCGGTGATCAAAAACAGAAAGCCCCTCAACATCCTTTGCGCGCACAGGCCAAGTGTTGCAGCCATAGAGAAGAAGCGGTCTCCCTGTGGAACTGTAAACTCGGCGCTTCAGAGATAGCCACCGATCGCCTCGACGCCAGAGATGGAGGAGATTGGCAAAAGGAATGTGAGCCTTGGAGACGTGCAAAGAGACCTCATGCGTTAAACCATTAGCGCTGAGGCAGCTTCTGATGTAAACCAACTTGCCCACCACTTCCAATGAATGACCTAGAAGGGTAAAGGTAGGAGCAGCGCCCAGCCAGTCCTGCATGAAGACCTTGCACTTCGATGGTGCGAAGGTCATTCTAAATTGGGAGACAGACACCTCCAACCTATACAGCAAATTTTGGACGACCTATGAGGAATCTGAGATTATGACAATGTCGTATGCATACTCCAACTCCCGAAGTCGCCCTCCTCCGAAAGCAGCTCGACGCCGCTGGGTTCACAGCTCTCCAGAGCACTCTTCAAGATTGCGTCTGTAGCGAAATTGAACAAAAACGGGGATGCCGGGCAACCCTGTCTCACGCCATTGGTGATACGAACTAGGTGGAATAAGTGAAAATCTTAGAATTCAAGAAAACGAACTGAAGATCAAGCATTCTTTCGATCAGGTGGCTACTGAATGCTTGACTGGATGTCCATAGAGGCGCGTGTGTCTGTGTGAGACATAAATCAGCGGCACTATAGCTGAGGTGTTTCGCGCCTCTAGCTAACGTGTAGAATAATGATGATGATGATTGGAACTTATGATGGATAACGAGTCAGTTGCATCCCAGCTTGAACTACTCTGCTTATTAGCCTATTACCCCAACTCACAAGACGGATTTCATTTTCGCGCGCTATCAATAAGACACAGGGCGTAGCCGAGTGAGCAATAAAAGTTATGCTCCCGTAAAGATAGTACGAAGAGTGTGGGGGAATGTCTAACCGCCGTGAAACCACCAGATTCCGCGTCGAGTGGCAACTTCACTCTCGAATCAATCATGAGCGAGAACTGACAAATTTGCGAGTGAAGTCGCATAAAAAGAATACAAAGAAGAAGTGTCGCCAGTTTCATGCATACACGACCATAGGACCTCGTCGTGAGGGTCAATAGGAAAGGCGATAGCACACTGACAGCTGTTAACTAGCAAGGTTAAACAAGCACAGTTATTTCAAGTTGGATTTGGAGAACACGTCGTGTGGTTGGATTGTGACACGCAACCTCCATTGAGACGTCGGTTCCAGTTGATGTAGGCCTTAATCACACTTATTCCTAAGGCACTATTGATACGGGTATTAAGAAAATAAGGAATATGGAACACAAAAGATTGTTGTAAATGGAAAAAAAAGCGAACAATGTGTGGACAAACGACATTTCATTTGGTACTTTTATCCCAAAAACAAAACCAATGGCCGCTACAGTTCAGAGAGCTCACATGAATAGTCAAATCGGGTGGCGGACGATATTTGTTCGGTGAGGAGAAGGTTGAGCAATATCAGTATCTGCGATGACCTGAAGGCCCCGAGCAGATGACCATGTGATAGCTATGTTTACTGATTCCCGGAGATGTGCTTCTGCATCGCAGTTACAAATGATCACAAGTACGGTTGCAGAATGATTCGGAAAATCTGTAGCTCGGATTGGTAGTTAACGTTTTGATTCGTTCTCCGAGATGGGTAATTTAATGACAAACGTTGCACCACTTCCCTCAGTGGCATCTTCAGTGCACTGCTCCGTAGGGGAAAATCTCAAGGAAAGTGTCGTCCGGACGTAGCGTTTAAAATTGGCCTCGTCGATCTGTGTCTCGCGACCTCTGTTTGTTCGATATTTGGCCGCCCAGTTTCACGCTTTCTCAGCTGTAGGTACACAGGATTGAGGTCAATGCGGAGGTTCACTGAATTCTCCGTAGAGAATGGTGCCTCGGGGGAGAAAATTATCCACAAGAATACAAGAGCACAAGCGTGCATGTCAATACCATTATGTATCGTCACAAATCTCAGCGTATCTCGATGATGAAGGACACACGTTAACTGGAACAATACAGAAATTCTGGCGCACGGAGGGACAAGAAAAGGAAGTGAATTCCTCGAGGCACGTTCTCTACGGAGAATCCAGTGAACCTCTGCATTGACCTCGATCCCGTGTACCTACAGCTGAGAAAGCGTGAAACTGGGCGGCCAAATATTGAACAAACAGAGGTCACGACGAGGCCAATTTCAAAGGCTACGTCCCGACGACACTTTTCGTGAGATTTTCCTCTACGGAGCACTGCCCTGAGGATGCCATTGAGAGAAGTGATGAGACGTTTGTCATTAAATTACCCAGCTCGGAGAACGAATCAAAAAGTTAACGGTCGCAGAAACATACACACATAAGCTGAGAGTAAAGCAAGGATAGCGTAACGATCATTATAGGAGTTTTCTGCGGAGGAAACTCCCTGCTGTTAATTGGAGTCATGGTTTCAGCAGATGGGCTGGCCGTCTGAATCCACTAGATTCGGAAAAAATCAGTTCAGCTGAGCAACTATGGTCCGAGCACCGAAGTGCGGAGTATTCAGTTGCCACGACTCATATTGCAAGTATAACTAAATAACAAGGGCAAATAGAACTTAAAGAAAAGGGAAGCAAGAAGGAAGTGCGCTAACCTAATCAGAATGGAATCAAAATTAACAACCAGATGCAAGAAACCGAATGCAAGAACGCAAATGACTGCACCATACCTGATACGGTCTCTAACCATCGGTGTGGGCCATCCCGAAGCCTCCATCCAGAAGACAGAACGCACCAGCATGACCAAGTCTCAGTCAATTTCTTCATGCCTCTATGCCACGTCATGGAGTGGCCGCCCCGCGGCTTCGCCCAAGTTGGTGTAGCCACGGCGAATAATGCATGTCGA